CGGCGGCGCGCTCGATCTCTAGTCGCCACCCGGTTGCACCCGCACACGTTGGTCGTGCCGTCGAACCCGGCCACGGGCACGTCGCCCTCGCGCCCGATGAAGCCCATGTGCGCCGCGCCGCGCCCGCACCGCCACTTGCGCAGCGGCAGCTCCATCGCCTCGTCCCGGTTCGTGTTCTCTTCCAGCGGGTTGGACGTCGTGTCGTGCCCGAGCGCCTCCTTCACGAGGTGGAACCCCGCGTCGAACGCGTTGCCGCGCCGCGACGTGTACACGCTCACGAGTACGTTGACGACGAGGAGGAGGAGTAGCGTCAGCCCCAGCGGCAGGATGTTCACGATCGGCCGCGAGACGAGCACCGTCACAGGGCACTCGTTCGTCGCCGGCGACGCCGCCGCCTTGTCCAGACGGACGTCCACCGTGCCGCTGGGCAGCGGCTCCCACTTCAGGGCGTTGGTCACGTAGCTTTCTACGACGGGGATGAGGTCGCCGGTGTCGAATTCGCAGTTAACGAGGGCGATTTTCGCGGAGGGGTCGTCTTCACGTTCGGTCCTCAAGAGGACGGAGCAGTCTTGGCGCGTGGCTTGCGACAGAGCCGTGCTGATTACGTCGATGTGCGCGTCGTGGTCGAGATTGGCCATGTCAGAGAAGAGCGGCGCCCGGTCTATGGCGTCACGCTTCCACACGACGTAGAATCGGTGGCGGGCGCCCAGCCCGCGGCTATAGATGACCGAGTTCCTCTCGCCGTCGCCGGAGTACTCCGTGAAAATCACGCTGCGGCCGCCCTCAAAGATCGCGCTTACCGACTCCAGCTGCTCAGGTGTGAGGCTGATCGAGACGGCGCACGAGCAGTACGACGCCGACGAGCGCAGCTGGCCGAGGCGCGTGCTCAGCTGCAGGTCGGCGCACACGCGGTTGAGCGGGGCGGCGGGCGCGGGGGCCGAAGCATCGATGACGAGGCGGTGGTCCGGCGTGCACGCCGGCAGCTGCTTGGTGCCGGGGACGGCGATGGCAACCGAGGCGATGGAGACGGCGAGGATGATGAGGCGGGCGAAGACGGGGAAGAGGAGGCGGGCGGGCTTGAGGGCGTTGCGGTAGCGCGCGGCGGCGCGGTCCTTGTAGGTGTAGTTGTGGCGCAGCCACGAGATGAGGCGCAGAGGGTCGTCCGAGTTGGTGAAGATGAAGGCGCGCAGGAGGGCGGCGTAGGAAAAGGATAACTCGTGCGCGGTGTACACGAGCTTGGTGACGACGGAGACGATGTTGGAGATGATGAAGACAGTGAACAGGGCGACGATGAGGGCGTTCACGACCTCGCTGCCCGACTGGAGCGTCGAGAAAGTCGCGGAGGGCGTGACGTCCAGCTCGGAGAAGACAGTCATCGCGGGAGGCGTGGGAGAGATGCAGCGCGGCGGTACAGCGGTGGTGGGGGAAGGGGTGGATGGATGAGGTGCAGATTTACGTCATGTGAGTGTGGCGCGGGCGTGGTACAAAACTTTACTGTATACACAGTCGGGAGCCAGGGAGGGACGTGATTGTTGCTCTGCATTGTCACGGCCTACAGGCAGCAAATTAAAGCTTTCAAGCGGTGGTGGCCGAGTTAGGGCACTTCCGCGGCAGCAGTGCAACCCCGCGGGAAGAAGATTTGGCGACACTACAACGCTCGCGCTGCTGCCATGCGGAGAAAAGGGTTCAGCAGTGTGATTCCACACAAACACGCAAATAAGGCACAGCCTTATTTATAGACGTACGATAGGACATAGAGTCAGTAAATATACCGGCGCCGGCGGCCCCCCCGCGGTCAGGGCGATCCCGGCATCCGGATCTCTTGGTTCACAAGCAGGACTGCCTGGCATGCAAAGTTATGTCGGCGGGATCACGTCCACACTCTCGGGCGGTATCAAGCAGCCGCTGCGGGTCATCATAAACCCTTGTCCCAGACGTTTCTCAAAAGGGCGCCACCAATGAGCGACCAGACGCTGGAGATGCGAGACTGCGACCCATCCCGCGTCGCTATTGCTCGCGCCGCGCCTCGCAGGACGACGTGAGGGCCTCTGCGGGTTGGAGAGGACCCGCGGCACAGGCTCTGGGGCGCGCGCCGGTAGCACGGTACATTATACTGCACCCAGCGTCCCTCACTTGATCGACACATTCATCACTGTCCCCGAAAATACCACGGGCCGTCGCTTAAAAGAAGGATTAGTACATTATTGTGAGGTAGGTTACAGCGCAGACTGCTGTGCGAGAGCAGACTGCCGTACGAGTACATTGAAGGTGCATAGCACGGCGTGCTCATTGAGAGATTGGGCATGCTGTAGTCAGCTAGAGCTCTGTGTCAGGAGAAAACGATTTCCCACTGACGACTTCTCCTCAGAGCGCGAAAGCTCAGTAATAGTTGCTCTGAGTATTGCTCGGAATATGGGCACGGGTGCTTGCCTATGTCTCGAGCTGAGAATTTAGTAGAGCGGAAAAGGAAGTCGCTCATGGAGACTCGGCATCGATATACGAGTCTTTCCTTCACCCACACGTCCCACGAACACTCTTCCATCTTACCGGGTCTTTTCATTCATGGGCTTTGGCGGTGTCTTGTGCCAAACAACTGTTCAAGTGTCAACGCATTGCCACAGCAACGTTCAAGTTGGAGCGATGCTGTAAGTCGTGATGATCGGGTGTAAAGCAGACATGAAACGTGTAATGTGGCATGCACACGTGTGTGCACATACTGTAGTGTATATCTGTAAGCACCTCTAACTGATTGATTTTTCAACGTATTTAACGGAGCAGAATTTATCGCTAAATGTCGGTTTCCGGTCGCTCGGTTGTTGGCCAATGGTGCCAAGATGTTGGGAGATGTGGGTTGGCACCTACATACTGTAGTATGATTGCAAAGACGTTGCTTACTGTAGGAAGGTGGTACAAGGGGAAGTAAGTTGGTCGGACGGAGGCAGTCCAGGAGGTGCGTGTGTTCATGTTTGATTACCCTACGGATTGGGAAGCACAGGTTACAGTGGCATATGCATGGATGATGCGGCGAGTCGGAGTATTGGTAATGCTTTTGTATGAAACGAGAATACACATGTTCTCTTAAAGGTCCGATGCCTCTCTTCTGAAGGCCTCTTCAGAGTTCATATACTAACCGCTAGTAGAAATATTTAGTTTCCCAATATTCTTGACACAGCCCCCCCTCACACATCCGCAAGATTATCAGCGGCAATGTGCATTTGTCTCTCGTTTCTTTCCTAAATCACTTGTCAATCATGCGTCAGAAAAGGCCACGAAGTCCTTGTTGCAGCGTTTGTAAAGCAGTTAGAACAACGTCAGATTACAGATCTGTGCTAATAGAAAACAATGCAATCAGTTAATCAGCAGGTGCTTCTATGTCTGGCAGAATCAACGAGGTTTGGCAAAGAAAACGAAAGTGGATAACTTAAGCAACTCGTTTTTTTCAAGCGTAATTCATTACTCCATATTTAGAGCTACATTGTAGTGTGTAAATTCTTTGATAACATCATGTAGTTGTAGTACAGTTCTGTACAGATTAGCGGCCCTTAAATTCTGGGGTACTGTATATCGATACCTGTGTTAGTCTCAGTCAACAACAAACCGGAAGCGGACTTGCAGCGAGCACAACTGTGATACTACTACAGAGTAAAGTCTCGATAAGCTGCGTACCGGATATGATGAACTGCCTCGGTACCGTGAACCGAAGGACTATGAGGGAGGCGCCACCCCGCTTTTTTGGCCCAGAATCGACGTTTTTGTATTTCTAAGGTGAACCAGACTCTATAGAACGAACTACGCGATACCATGAACATAAAAAATATGAAAAACCCAGAGTTCACTTTATCGAGGCCGAAATGCGCACTAGAAACGAACCATCAACGAATACAGAAGCTATCAATACGTCCTTGCTTCAGATTCATACGTTGAAGTCTCCGTACGCGGCTTTGTTCTTCAAACAGGAGCGATTTGAGGCTCGACGGCAGCCCCGATTGAACTAAGTTCCGCTGCTTGCGCAGCAGCGTGCGCTTGTTCGGCCGCATCAAACGCAGCTGATGTCGCACGAGACACAGCTCCATGGATGTTCTCCATGATAAATTAGGCAGAATGAAAAGAAAGGGAGGCTGAATCACAACGGGAAGAGCTCTGGATGTCCGATTGCGCCCGTCGACGTCGCCCGTCGACGTCGCCCGTCGATACACAGTGTCAGAGGAAGTGACGTTATGTGCCTTGCTGTACCTGTACAACGGCTACACGTGTACATGAGCAGTTCCGCCACTGTGAACTGGCCCGGTAAGGCGAACTCAGTAGGTTGCTCGGAAGCGCCACATTTCGGTTCACCATATCGAGACTTTACTCTGTACAATACAGCCTTCTGGTGCGGCGTACCTCCTCGAATGCCCCCCTTTCAAGAGTACTTCAAAGGAACCCACTTCAAGGGCACCCTACACAAAGATGGAAAGCCCTAGTGTCTAGCCGACAATTTTCCTCATTTGAGATTGAGGTTCAACTTATTTTATTATTTTTATGAGGTCAAATGGCCTCATTTGAGGTCACTTGTCGGCTAGACACTAGCTACACGCGTAGAAGTGAGGAAAAAACATGAAGCGTCACAATTGTTCCATGTGCATTGCTCTACTATGTGCACTTCTTTCCGTGCCCCCCCACCTCTCCTTCATCAAGTGTCCACGTTGGTGGTGCTTTGCTGTCCCCACGTGTGATACCTCGGTGTAAAGTAGTTATTTCTGGGAATATTTTTGAGAACTTGGAAAGTATTATTTTTGGTTTGAGGTGCCTTGATGAGGATGCTGTGGGATTCCGCCATTTTGGAGACACTATCAAAAGCAATGTCTTCGTCCTATTCGACATATTCTTGTTGTAGACGTCAAGCACATATACGATTGTTTAGGGTGACGCTGCTTGTAGAGAAATAAATCGCTGAAGGCGCGATGCATGCGAGCTTTTTCTTCGGATTCCGGCCCAGTTTTTGATCTCACTCCCTCCCATCCACCACGCAAGACACTTTTCGGCCCTCCATTCACCCGTCTACGGCTGTTCCATCCCGCTTATGAACGAAAATCCACTCCATGAATGTCATGTCATAGAGATGACCTCTCTTTTATTTGGTTTTACCAGATATCCTGTCTTCGTATTATCGTATGATACCGTCGCCAGGTGGCGCCTCCGCTGCTGGCCATGTCCTCATCGTTCTTATTGGATGCTTACCTCCAACTCCAGCTGTTGCCAACCGACAGAGAATCTACTCCGTGTAAACCAAAAGCAAGAAATCCTTCCAGTGCTGTTATTCGTTTTCCAGGAATCTGTCTGTTAGAGAATAAAGCATTGTCTTCGAAAGTCTATTACTCACACGTTCAGCAATTCAGCACCAGGTGAAGATACTCTTTACAACAACGCCAAAAATGAAGGGACCATATGCCGCACGAGCAGCAATTTTTAGGTCCAGGTGTTTTGCTAATCCTGAGTTCGTTTAGCCTTCCTTTGTCCCTCATGCCCGCATGATGAAATCTTGAGGATAAAAACAGCGGGAAATGCATGACTACGGAAATGGGAAAGTAAAACAGTTCACTATCCCACTGGATTGCACGGCACTCGGAAAGACAGTGCCGACTGCGGAGAAATACCATCCCGCCCATCGGAAGAGGAGTCACACCTCCGATCCTAACCCCTGACGCAGAATCCGCACGTCTTAGAGTTCGCGAGAGTACTACAGTACTCTGTAGCACATACAGCTCCCAATGCGAAGTAGCAATGAGTCGTGGCAAGGAGGAACAGAAGCCATTACGACATGAAACAGTGTCCTGATCCCACCATTTTAAAATGGTTTGCGCTTCCGTTTCGACGGAGACGAGAATATATACAGCGCTGTTTACGCTTGGGAATAGTTTAGAGGCATGCTGTGCCTTAGGGTTTCTCACAGAATCTTCTGTGAGATACAGTATGGAGCGGAAACGAGGAACCGAAGCATCGTTGAAGAAAAAAGAGAGAGAAAAGACATTCCGTATTGACTCTGTCCGCTGCCTAAGGTACTACTACATTCACGAGGAAAAGAGCGTTTTTATTCGTTTTTAGTAGCTTGGTTTCCTTGATACTGCAAAACCGAAGAATCTTCCCTGGGGAGACGTTCCTAAAGATCGAGCGATCAGCAAAAGCGCACCTTAGTCTCACCGCATGGGGTTTAAGCGCTTTTCTCTAAGAAAGGGGGGATCTCTGGATGGGGTGCACAATTAATTAATGTAGAAAACGCCAAGCGCAAAGTTACTTTAAACCACAATTTGCCGGACATCAGTTGCTGCCATAAAGCGGGGCGCTGTTTCCCGGCAGGTCCTCGACAATTCATTCTCACTGGTTGTTTCTCAACCACGCCGATCACTTTCTGAGAATTCTCCGCCGCCCCACGTCATTCCCACAGCCGCATCTCATTCAGAATTTTTCGCGTACCTCAGTCTGGGAGAAGGTGGCAGCGTCACTATTGCTTCGGTGGTAAAAAAGGAGTTTCCCCCACACGCTTGCGAATTCTGTCGAATGCGCAAAGCTCCAGGTATTGATTACCTACAGTAGCCTTTATGTTTCCATTCCCTCTTCTCACCTCGGAATGAACGAGTTCACGATCTCTGCTCGTCTTTACATTCTTGCGGTCGCCACAAGCTTCGACAAGGCCTCGTCTCCTCTTCTAACTGTCTCTCCATTTTTTCTCATCTTGGACATCATCAACATTCCGTGAAAGTGTAAACGTCCTCCCTTTTTTTTACATCTCCACTCCTTTGCAAACCAACCACTCGTCTCTCTCTACTTAAGCCATCCCCAGCATCCCTCCGATCCATCTTCCCTCACCCCAATCAATTCAACTCTTAACTCCTCATCCTAACTCCTCATCCTAACTCTTCACGCCTTTCAACCACCAAAAATGTCTCACATCACCCCGAATAACCGCGAGAATGCTTCTGCCCCATCCCATCATCTGCTTCTCGTCGGCGCAGGACCTCGCAGCACCATTCAAATTGAGGCCGAAATCTCATTCATGCTTCTCTACAACAACCATTTCCAGGAACTCATGAAACTCGGCGCTCGCTATCGCATTGATACCACTGTCGTTGAAAAGCAGGCTCGCGTCGCAGCTGGAGCCTCCTTCTCCGCCGATCAAACGGGAATGGCCAGCACAGGTATTGAAGATGACGTTGAGTTTTCTTTGCCTATCACTGGCATGTCGGACGGAGAAATTGACGATATCAAAAGTCTGTTGAGCTACAAACAGCGCTACGAACATCGATTCGGACAGAACCCGGAAGCGTACTACGAGGAGCTCAAACATCTCAACCTTCCCGGTTCCGTCATGTTCAGGCGCTCCGTCGGGCCTATGTCTGGAACCCGTTCCGGGCAACTTGACCACTCTCGTGCCTACCTCATGCGCAAAACCATGGGGGAGGAGGAATTTGATATTTCAATCTTGTCCGCCGCATTGCAAATGAGCGACTTCCCTTCTATAAGCTAAACGTCATGCATTCCAACCTACTCGAAGAAATTGCAGTCTCCGAGCAAACCAAGCCTTCTGCGAGGCTTCTTGATCTGGAAGAAAGCCGTTGGCGTTGGTTTACCGCTGACCAAATCCGCATGAATACTGGAACAACCCTCAAGCATCCAGTCGAGGACCTCGATGCGCGCGACCTCACCTTCTGTCAGTCTATGAACATCGCAGATATCAAACTCTATTTTGCATCTCGCAAATTGCTTGATTCTCAAGACATGGTTGTCCCAGGAACGAAAATTTTGTGTGGAGGATTGAGTCTTTCCTCACTCGACCAGCTAAGCGTGCTCGACGGGATCATGAATCTTTTCGAGGTAGATAACAAATCGCTTCTTGGATATCGCGTCACAAGTCATGCAAAGGAGTTGTATCAGGGCGCCATCACATTAGTCAGCCGCACCCCAGGAAAGGCCTGTCCTCCGAGGCACTCCTTCGAGCCAGAATGGACGCAAGAGACGCCCCTTTTGGGTAACACAAAGCATCTTCACTCTCTTTTCCTCCATGAGAGTGGCGAAGAGGTTTACCAGCTCTGGTATGACATATTGAAGGCCACGGTTGCCCGTGCCTTGAACCGGACCCCGAGCGAAATGAATAAGTCCCAATGTACAGAGGAGCTCCTTCGCTCCAAATTCGAGGAAACATCCTGGTTTCTGGATCACCGCCGCAAGGCTGGCTTGGCTGAGCTGCAAGACAAACTAGCCGTGAAGGAGCGCCTGCTCAAGGAATCCATGAAGACTGAATCCGGGGCGTGGCGCCAAGCGGCGCTGAGTCTCATTCTTGGTTTCGGGCCTGAAAGCGATCTCGGCCAAGCAACTAGTGAAATGGAAGAGCTTGCCCCGATCACATTCAAAGGACGGCAGGCAATGCTCATCCACAGGGCGCAGCAATACGGCATCACGCATCCGCGGGTTGCCCTGAAAAAGTCGAACAAGGTGCCCGTGGGCAACTTCAAGAAGATCATGAGCTTTGTGACGGCATCTCCGGTGGAGATTCACAGCATGTTCCACCTTCTTTTCCAAGCCGGGATTGCCAAGTTTGTTCCGGCTTCCTACTCGGACATTTCGGTGGACGCAAGCGGGCGGTATCTTTCCGTCGGCGGGGAAAAGTACGACGCTCTGGTTGTTTCCCCTGTTTTCGACCGCAACGCGAATCCCGCTGTGAAGTCTCTTGCGGGGCAAGTCCGGCCGATGCACCCCAGTGCACCGCGGTACGGGGCAGTTGGCAAGTTCCGGCAGTTTATCTCTCCGTCAGGGAAGCCTCTCCCCGTCGAAGACAACGGGCTCGGCGGGGCCGGCTTCCAGGTACAAGAGGGGGACGGGAAAGGGTTGACGGTCGGTGCGTTCGCGGTGGACATCAACAACAGGGCGTCCGCAGCAGCACGGCTGCGTCATACGCTACGCGAAGGATGGCGCTCGCGCATCTCAAGGCGGCCGGCGTGTCATCGCCGACGACGACACTGTCCGCTATCTACGAAAGTCAGAAGCCCGAGGAAGCGGCGTA